GAAGACCGTAAGCGATTTACGTATGATATTAACACCCAATCTCATTGTGACAAAACCCACCTGGGCGGGACAGATTAGACTCTCCAAGCCCATCTCGTCTCAAGTGTCCCTCATATAGAGGAATTGTGCCTCATTTGGACCAAATCTCTCTGTCCCTCTTTCCTCATCATTTGTCTATCATTTTTGTCTGATGTACAGATATCTATGGAAAGGTACATTTAACTACCAAAACTGTTATTCTGCAGTAATACCTGCATTTTATCTCATAATTATTTTTTTTGCTATTTTGAAATGCCAGTGTAAAGGAAAAGTAGTGGGGGAAACAAACAATTTAACAACAAACAATTTTCGGTTTAAGCAATCATTTTGTCATATACATTTTTAATGGTCCGCATAACTTGTGGCGTGGCAGGGGTGTCTTTATTGCCTAAATACATTGTGCCGGAAGGCATCCCTCTTTGTCATCTCAGAAAGTTGGGAGGTATGGAAAAACAACAGGCACATGCAGACAGGAAATTGCATCATAGCCATGCAGATGGACTAGAAAGAACATTGCATTATGCAGGGATTAGTCATAGCATGCATTACAACTTAGTGGCAGAACTATATCTCACAGCATTATATATGAGAATGGTTGTTGCTTATATGACTGTAAAAACAGCATATTAACAGAAATGCATACACCTGTAGTACCAGAGTGAATCATAAGATCAATCCCAGTGACACCGCCACTCCGTAAATACTACACTAAGGCAATGCATTAGACTAAAATTCTGGTAAAATATAGACCCAACCCCTTGTGTGAAGCCCCAACCTTGTAATTCAACTGTCAAATACCTCTACAACTCATATAAATTCTGGCTTTTGACAGCTGATTGGCAGGGTTGTGCTGGAAGAGTGGGGATTAATCTGATCTTGGGAAAATGTTGAATCCCCATGCACAATCTTTTTGTGATGTGTGTACAGTGTTGTGAATGCTGTACAAAATATTTATATATTAACACAAAACATGGTCACTGTGTTACCTTGCTCTAACTTAGGGCATTTCCCACAACGCAGTATTAGCTATTCATGGCCAATAATCGTATGTAGATTTTGTGAAACAGCTCCTGAGAGGAGATCACACTCATGTGGTAACAAGAAGACAATTACATATTTACTTTAAAATGCTGAAGTAATAAATAAAATTCAGGAGAATGTCAGATAGCATAGAACAGAAGAAAATAGTTACTTGTAGGTTGCATGTTTGCATTGAAAGTCACATTTTTATAACTCAATGGCAAAGTAATCTTCTAGTGAGGGTGTTCTGTAATTGACTTTGAAAGGACAAAGAAAGTTGGTATCACAGCCCAATATGTTTATGCAGTTCTAATGCTTTTGGCATTAAATACTTTCTCTAACTTAACATGGTCGAAGATGACTTATTATATTGCTCATTGGCTGATAATTCAGCTCGTTCTTTGTTCTCCGATACTGCAGCCATTCTGAAACTAGCATAGGGAAAAAAAAGAGGCCTCCGATTTTTATTGGCTCTACAAATCACTTGCACAGAGCGAGCTTTTGAAACACAGTGTTCTTAGGGCTCGCAAGATTTGAAATCTTGTACACAGTAAACCATATGATGGTCTAATAAAAGAAATGAGTCTTTTATTTTAGTTCATAGAAAATTACCAGCCACTAATTTGTTTTGTCAACAGTTTTATAGCTCATTACATCTTCGGCTGTGAAGTTTTGTTTGTGATATAATATACCAGGCTTAAAAGGTCTTCTTGCACTATATACAAGGTTATTCAGCAGCTCACATCTCCTGACCAGCTAACAACTGCTGATGCTCTTTGTAGCATAGCTTTATTGGTCTGTCCAAGACAGCTGTACGGAGTTGGAGAAATTACTTGTGATTAGAGTTTAGAATATCAGTAAGAATGTGCATGTCACTGCTTTTTTTTAGGACTGGCCTGAAGCAATCTGCTATAATATGCATAAATTTAACTTTCAATTGTTTATGTAAAAGGAAATGATAATGGTCACTTTATTTTAATGTTTCTTTTAAATTAACCTAATGTTTGTTATAACTGTTTAATCTTTATGCTTACAAAACTAATTTAATGCATATTTAAAGGAATCACAGCTCACTATAGCAGATGATCTTTACTGCTGATTGAAAGTTCAATCTAAGCTGTTTAAAAAGGAATGGGTCACTGGGATTGGTCACTCAAAATTCAGTTTGATCTATTGAGTTCTGTAAACATCAGGCTGTACAGCAAATTAGTGCATGGTACATATTGAAAAAAGAATCTAAGGGTCTATGTTGCCTTTTCATAAACTTGTATGGGATGAGAAGTTTTGAAGTGAAAAAGCATTTGACAATTCCCCTAAAGCTTCACCTTTCAACTGCAGCTTCCTAAAAGAACAGGCCTGGTAGAATAAAAAGATGGAAATGTTTATCAAATCAATATGAAACTGATAAAAATGCACAATTAAATCGATAAAATCCCGTAAATCAGTATCAGTATCAGTGCACACAAAAAACACTTTTTTGACTAAATCCAAAAGATAAAACAGTATTGAGTTAATACATAACAAATATTAGTCAATTTTAAAATGCTCCTTTTTTAGAGACAGTAAGAAAAATAGAAGAAACACAAAATTGTAAATAAACAACTTTTGAAAAAGAAAATGTGTTGTGGTAATGCCTGATCTGCATTGCCATTTGTGTGCAGTGTTGGTGTGTGTTGTGATAAAATTATGCCAGCATACATTTAATCGCAACACAGCATATCACAACACTTTGCCATGCGCTGCCACACAGTTAAGTTAATATTATTTCAAAAAAACAAAAAAACAATCACTGTGAAGTGTTCTAACAATGTACTGCAGCACATGCGCATGACGTACACCACAATGGACACTGTTATACATGTAAATTGTGGTGTACATGCACACTGTTACGCATGTGCACTGTGGTGTACGTGCACACTGTTACACGTGTATGTTATATGTGTGGGAGGTGTTGTGTCTTTTTTAACTATTTATTTTTCTTTTATTTATCTTCAGGTGAAGCTTCAGGTGAAATATCAGGGGACCCTGACATTTCCCTTTTGAAATAGTAAAAGGTTGAGGACAGATTGATTCCTCAATCTCTTTTTTTGTAGCCCCAGCACTAAATGAACAGGAGCAGTCAGTACAGAAGATTCCTGTTCATTCACAAACTGAGAATGCATAGTACTCTCCCCAGTTATGAATGGACATGAAGCCTCTGTACTGAGTGCTCCTCTCCATTCATAAACTGAGTACATAGTGACCTTACTATGTCCCCACTTAGTAATGAACATGGCGTGATGTAAGCACTTCCTGTTCATAACTGGCGACACAGCTTACTATGTGCTCAGTTATTTACAAACACTGTGGTCAGCACTGATCACTTCGGTGTTTGCTTGGTACAGGGAAGGATCCTTTAAATATTACATGTATATACTGATCCTCCACTCGGCATCCTGAACTGCTCAGCCCACACAGCTCCGCTCTCTGTCACCACTGTCACCTTCTGCCTCCCCCCCCACCCCATGGCTGCAGCGCTATGTCTCTCCTCAAATCCCTGCTGCCTCAGCCAATACAGGCGGGGGAGAGCAGTGGGGATTGGGGGGGAGGCAGAACGGAGCATGGAGCTGGCGGTGGGTGGAGGAGAGAGCAGTGCAGAGCCTCAGAACTTGCGACAGGTTGTACCGCCCATGAGCTTATAGCAGAAGGGTAAAAGCCAGCAACGTAAGGAATACTGAGGTGGCAAGCTGGAAGCGGTTGTGTTCCGCCATATGCCTTAAATCATTGGCAGGAAAAGGGTTAAATCTGAACTCCGGGCACAAAAACTTTCATGCAAATATATTTCTTAATAACCAGAAAGGATATACATCCACTTTGTGTACACCAAATACATTATATCACTGTGCTTTATATAGCCTTTGCAGCAAAAAGGGTGGTGGGAGGGACCCAGACCACACCCACTACAGGCTGCCTGCAGAAAACTACAGGGGGGGACAAATACAAGACCAGTCTCCCTGCACAAGAAGAGAGAGAAGCAGTGACTGGTCTTTATTCAGGACACTCCTGCACAAAGGCAAAGTGTCATGCTGGATTCCTGCACAGATCTGGAAGAAATACACAAAGCACCCCACGATTTAAGTAAGAATACACATGCCTCTTGTATTTAGACAATAACTGCTTATCCCGGAATTCACCTGTAAACATCATCATTATTCCATGTGCTTTTAAAAAAAAAAAATGCATTTAGATTGGAAAGAATACAGAGAAAATGATTACCCCCAAAATTGTCCGTCACCCACACAAATCAACTTCCTTGATTTTCAAATGTGGAAAGCTCCTGGTCAGAATAATTGTTCTCTGCAAATGATTCAGGAAGCATAAAAGTCATTGGATGAGGAAGACATGCAGACAATTTGTATTTTTAGATTTCAGTAATGGCAGCCTATGTTTCTTCCAGCACAGGTTTCCTTTAATGTTCAACACTTTTCTACTACAGTTTAGCAACTTGCCTAACCATGCTGAATCCATGTTTATAATGAGTATATGAACATGGATACCCAGCTAAGCTTGCTATTCACAAGGGATACAGGATGTCATTTTGGTCTGGAATTAATGGGATCTCATTTACTACATCTGTAACTTTTCTCTTTCTCAATGTTACTTTCTTAAAGAAAAAAGTCAAATTACAGCGTGGCTAAAGTATTCTGAAAGCTATGCTCTTCAAGGTGACTACCATTTATTTCATGAAAGGTGATTTTGACTATGTATTGATTTCAGTCCTCTGGATCAAATAACATTAATGATTCTTGCAAGCTGCCTGAACATTTTCTATCAGTGTAAAGCGCTATGTTAATTTTCATCCAGGATGGTACTTCATTGCATTGATGGTGTCAAGAAAATAAATTACACTTTCTTTGATGAAAAAAGCCTATCAGATATGGTTAACAAACTTAATTTTGCAGGTCCTAAAGGAGATACGGGAGATATAGGACTACCAGGGCCACATGGAGCTATCGGTCTCCTTGGTCCAAAAGGCTATAAAGGAGATAAAGGTCTGTATAAATGATTGTATATTGATTTAATTTGTAATGTTTGAGGCAAACAGAATATAAAGCATAACTAACTAAAGTGTCTTATAGCATGTTACAATACCACCCTGTGCATATATTTTTCTGTGTCATTCATTTGGGGTATATTAGCTTTTCGTACTGTCACTTCAGTTTCACTACTGTGCTTGTTCTGTTTGATGATCATGGAAAATGGGGCAACAGCTAAAGTATCAGTTAAAGTGAACCTGACCATGCAAACAAAGTGCAGAAGACAGCAACAGTGCAGACGTGTGTTAGTATCACATTTACTTCTGTATTCCTGTGGAGCCTCTTGGATGCAAGGCCCTAATTGTAAACAGGACCTGAACTTTTCTTCTCTTAACATAAGTCCTATCCCTTCCTGGCATTACCTTCCCCTTTACATTTTACTGTAAAATGCCAGAGTTTAATTGGGCAATAGAGGGTCAGCCATTTGGCAGTTGAATGACAGCAGGTGGGGCCTAATGCCATAGCAGTTAAACTTAAGTTTGACTTGGGAGAAATTAAGGGCTCAGAGATCTAAGGGTTACCCCTAGGGTACAGGTATTGATGTAAAGACTAGCACAGACTAGCACTTACATTCATCTACAAATGTGTACCTTGGGTGCTTTTAAGTCATCCAGGTTCACCCAGTAATAGAATGATCCGCTATGTACACTGCTTGTAGTGGATGCAGTTGCAAGAGAATCAGCCCATGCAAGAAAAATGACTGCCCCCTTTCTCAGAGCAGGCACCACATTTAGAAATACAGCGGTGCTGTACTTGAGACTGTCATCACTCCTTTACTTCACTCCAAGCAAATCAACTGCACACTAATCCACTTCACCAGTAAAACCTTTATTAATATACGCATCTCATGATCACAAATCATCCCCACTTCTAGAGCTGGGTAGTATAAGAAGCAGAGATGATTGTAAGAATGGATGATGATAAGAAGCAGGGGTGATCCTGAGCCACGTATTTCAATAAAAGTTTTACTGGTGAAGTGGAGCAGTGTGCGGTCAATTGTTTGGAGTACAACAGAATGAAACAATTGATCTCTGCGAACAAAGGAGGTTCCAGCACACATTGACATCCTGCAAGTTGCAATACTCTCATCTCCTTGGGCACAGATCTCTACATCCACAGCAAACAGTTTGATATAATGGGAAAGTGGTAAGTATTACCTCAAAGAAAACAAAACATCTTAACAGTGTATACAATATTAACCTCTTGCCGTCCGCCCGTAGTAAAAAAACGGACGGAATAAATTAGATGTACCACACGTAGTAGTACCTGACAGCACAGTTTATCCAGTCCTAGGCGTAATTTAACGCCTAGGACTGGATAAACTGTGCTGTCAGGTAGGGGTGCCTAATTGGATTACAGTACTGGCTGTTCAGAATTACAAATCCTTTGTCAGGTAAAGCAATTTACATATGTGCTTCAATTGTGTATTTAACTGCTTGCCTGGAGTTCAGTTTTAATTTATAGTTAATGTAACTTTTTCAAAGCAAACATTTTTACAATGCCAACATCCTCTCACAAGCTGCTGTTTTCCAGTAAAAGCAGCTAGAGATGTTTCATACAGAGTCTGAAGAATTGCTTGTAATATTCAGTCTCCTACCTCTTACTCCCTGTTCAAATATCTCAGAAACCATTGCCAAATTCAGAAACAACAAGAAAGAATGCAATAAAATATATTGAGTGACTAAGTAAACTGACTCTGGTTCATTAACTGCCATTATTCAACTTCAAATCTGCACAGCCAGCAAGAGTGGAGAAAACCAACACAGATTTGTAATGTAATACTGGTATATGTTATAAAGTAGCACTGAATTAAAAAAAATAAATAAAAATAAAACATAAAGAGTAAAACTTCTACAAAACAAAAAGTTATAGCTCTATATCAAAAATAGTGTCTGTCTTTCCCTAATAGGACAGAAGAGGAAACTAGATTCGACCAGGAAAAATGTGTGTACCTGACAAATTGTAGTAATTCAAGAAATCTATGCCATGGGTGGGATTGTTTTTGATGGAGGAGGCAGTTGGATTTACAGGAGTCTCACTCAGAGTCTGGCAAACCACAGATTGCCCTGCATAGAGAAACTGGGGTTCATTTACTAAAGTCAAATAAACTTCTCACTTTGCAGGGACATTTTCACTTAGCTTAGCAAATGAGTAAAAACAACTTTGCAAGGAATACCCAATTACTAGTAAGTGAAAAAAAACTGTATTGTGCTTGCACATGATTGGATGGTGGAAGTCATCATTCACTAAGCTATGGGAAAATTCCTTTGCAAAATGAGAAATTATCTGCAAAGTGAACAGTCTTTAGCAAAACCGGGTTAATCATGTTAAGATTGATCTGCCCCCTCCCCATGCATTCCAAAGGAAAATTTGATGAAGAGAAAAACTTTGTTTTCCAGAAAAGAGCATGTAATATGAAAGCAGCATTTTTATTGTTTTAAGTTATGCTATGTGAATAAGAACATGTAACTTAGATAAGACTTATCCTAATTTGCCTGCAAAAGTGGATGTACACTTAAAGGTGCATATAAACTTTGTAGGGCTAACAGACATGCATACATAATCCATCTAAGTTCAGGCACCAGTGGGAGTTGCCACAAACACAATTGTTAACATGAATAGAGAGCAGATGGGGTAGGGTGGCAATGGGCAAACAGTATTTTTTTTTATTTAACCACTTAACCAATCAATTGTGCTCCCTCAAAGCTGTTGGCCAGTGGTTGTACCCGAAGCTTATAGACATGGGATTGTCGACAGATCCAACTGAAAGCCTTCTTGTGTCTATGGATAATCAAGACATCCTGGACTGCCAGGATGAGCAGCTCAAGGAACTTGCTTTTACCCAAACATATAGATAGGAAATGTAAAAAGATGAGATAAGATTGGAAATAAGAAAGAAAATCAGGCGGAGAAGATATATATATATATATATATA